AATAATAAATTCCAAATAAATACCTCTTTAATCACAAAAATTCAAAACTCTATAAGCAATAACCAAGCTTAAACGATAAAAACACTCAGCCAGAGCTTGGGGGGTAAAATACAAAAAACTCTGTCTAAACAAGAGTCGTTGGATCATTCAAACAAAAGTTTGCCATATAGTTCAGTTAAAATCCCTAAATTGCATAAGGGGGGATAGATATACATAGATATAGATGAACAACCAACCCATCCACCTCCTCTGGATGCATTTCATCCCACACTATCCACAATTCAATCCCCAATCCGCATCTCCCTTTCCACAGCCACAAGAAACTTTCAATTGCCAACTACTCGGGGAAAAGTTAAAAAGCGGCACGCGGAAATTTTCTATTTTCTTTTTGTTTTTTTGCAGTTTTTGTTTTATTTTTTTTATGGCAAAGCATCAACAACTAACTGCTAAACTGTAAAGTACCGCCAGCCACCCCGTGACCTCGGCACCTCGCGCTCAACGGCAGCCATTAAATGAAACTTAATTAGCCCTAAATAAGCAACAGAGCCAATGAGTAAAATGTGGCTAAAATGGGTTGGCCTTCTGGCTGGGTGGGTGGGTGAGGCTCACCCACATTGGTGTGGGTTGCATTTTAATGCACAAACTGAAAAATCATTGATTACTTTGGCCGAGGGTTTGTTTTTTGGCGGGGGCAGTGGGAGGACAGCTTGGAGGATAGAAAAGCTATACGGGGGGTTTTGGGCGGACTAAAAGAAAAACGTTTTGTGCATTTTACGCGATAAGTTGATTAAATTGCATAAAAGTGGGCTGAACGGAGATCGAAGGAATGGGAGTAGGTTTATAAGTTGGTTACACTGAGGGAAAACGTTATTATTCAGGAATTAATAATGGAGTTAATGTTTAAGGATAAGAGTCCTGTCTTAAGAAACGATATTTCAGTAGAATTTATAAATAAATACAAATAATAACAAGAAAATAAACTATTATTGAAATAAAGGATCGAATCGATAATCGATAATCGACAACTTTTCAACAAATCTAAGTTTAAAAACAGTCCGAATACAGTTTTTATTTTATTTTCAGAAAATTTTAATTTTTCTCAATTTTTGCAAATTTTAACGATGTAAGCCCTTATTGTTTTTTGAAAAAATTTCAAAATTTAATTTTTTGCCCGGAGAAGTCTAGATCATTTCGCCTACTAATGCTGATCAAGAATATATATAATTTATGGGGATTGGAAATGATTCCTTTATAGCATTACAAGCTTCTGAATAAAATTATATTACCTTGAAAGGGTATACATAAAAATAAGTACAAATTAACATTTGTAATATTTTTTAAAGCAAATGTGTTCTGTTGATAAGCATCTTTTATCAACATAAATAATAGAAAATAATAATTTCCATCTGAATAATACCATTAATATTATTCAATGAAATATTGCATTTTTAAGCAATTAAATTCATTTTAAAATTGTCTTTGTGGGCAAATATAAATTTATCTAATATAAAATATATAAGTTTTCGTAATCTATTACTTCCCACATACAAATAGTATAATTTTTGTTTCAGTGCTTGCACTGGGTTAAGTTGGCTCTATAAAGTGGGCATCATAAAACGCATTAGCCAGCGGTTGAGTGGGCGGCCCGAACTCTCTCCAGATTGAGATTGAGTGCCGCTAATTTGAATCCGTAATTTTCTTTGGGTGGCATGCCATCAGGCACCACACCCCACCACCGCACCACCCCACCACCGCCTCAACCCCTTTACCTATCCTTCCTTCACAATATTTACCCCAGTGGGTGCGACCGTAAACCGGCTTAGAAAATGGCTGCAATTTTGTTGCAACTTGCAGCGGACGTAGCATTCCAGTTTACGGCCGTATTATATGCTCCTTGCCGCCTGGCCTCAGCCTTTTTTGCATCTACTTGTAGTTCATTGAGTGTTTTGAAGGGATAGAGAGGAAAATTGCATGGGGTGAAAGGAAAACCTCCTACCACTCTTCCCGCTCAGCAACGATTTTCCGGAGAAAAAGTTGCAACTTTTACGAGCCGCAACGGTCGAACGGGCAGGCAAGTACAGTTACACCCGGTGGAACAGAACAGAACAACACACCCGACTGGTTAGCTGTTAACAAACTAGCCGGGCTTCTAGATATAGAAAGATATAGTAGTTTTAGTACTACCAACAGTTTTATTCAACACCCCTTGTCGCCGTCGAACTTAAGCAGTCCGCGGGGATTTCCAACCGCGATGGGTGGCGCTTTTCCTTCCTCAACCTTAAAAACCCATCCCGACCCTCTTCTTCCCGCATTGCAAATGTAGTTCAAAGTCGTGCAACATCGTAAATCCATCGTTGAACTATAAAAAACCGTCTTACTGCAATTTGTATCTCTTTTGCTGAGGCGGGTTTTGGGCCAAAGGTTTCGGTGGGGTTTTTTTCAAATACCGCGGTTTATTTTTTGGGTATATTGCATAGGGATCTTTGGAGATAATAATTATTTAAGTATGTTATAAAGGAGAAACTACTTTTTCGGTTCTTAATTTCTTAAAGATATTAAATAATGTTATGACAATTAATAGATTGATGTCATTGTGCTTAAATTATCATTCAAGAAGTTAAGATGAAATGTATATATTTTATAGACTGCAATTTTGAATATTTTCCTTTCTAAAATAAAGTTTTTCTGCTAATCTTTGAACATATGCTCAAATGAGAAATATGTACATAACTTAAAAACCAAACTTCTATAATTTATTTGGGCTTATTTCATGTCTTGTTTTATTCTTTGTATTTAAATATCCTTGAGATAAATTAAGGAAAAACTAGGAACATTTTACAGATGATTTATCAATAAAATCTTTTAGGAAATTGAAACTCTATCAAGTACCTTTAAAGGAAGTACAATCAGCTATTAAAAATAATATGATAGGTATTTGTTTTATCTCTGATATTTTTTCCATATACCAAAAACTACCAGGTATTTTTTAGTCTTTAGACTCCTTGAAAAAAACCGTGTTTTTTGTTGGGATTTCTTGTTGTTTTTTACCACTGTTTCTGGGGTTCTGGCAGCCGCTTTTGGCTTTGGCTTTGGCTTTGGTCTTTTGCTCGGTTGCTCAACCCGTGAGCACTTTTTAATCCGATTTTGTTGCATTTTTACCATGCTAAATGTGTGTGTATGTGTGTGTGTTGCTTGGCGATTACGCCAGCCTTGTCTTGTTCTTCTTCAGTGCTACTGGTAATGCTTCTTCTTCTGGCTTTTCCACCTACTTTCCCCCCTTTTTTTATTTATATTTTTTATTTTTTGATTATTTTAGTTGCACACACCCTGGGCCCAACAGAGAGAAAGAGTCACCCTCATCACCCTGAGACACGGCCCTAACGATTTTGCATTTTTTATTTAATATATGCGGTGTTTTTCCCCCTCCCCCGGCTTTCCACTTTTCCTTTCCTCTCCCTCCATCATGTTGATATTGCGGCCCCTGCTTAGCCTTGGTTGACTATTTAAAGCCGTAAAACCCTTAACCATGGCTTAGCCACACGGGCCATAAGTTCAACCGGACTGAGAGTGCACAGAGAGAAAAGGTTCATCGAACTTGACACGGTTTTTTCAAAAAGGGAGGAGAAAATTCTAGGGGAAAGTGTAAAATGAACCTGAGAAAGGAAGGGTGTTAATTTACAGGAAACTTGTGTGAGGGGGGAATTTTCTCTTTATATTCTAAGAAATTTGTTATTAGGATGGATCTTTAGGTATTTATGTTTCTTAATTAAATAATAAGTGAGTGTAAAACAGGGGATTTTGCAGTTTGTAAACTAGTTTTTGAGCAAATAAAAATGGTTTCTAATACAAATAAAAGCAAATAAAGCAATTCTTAAACAAACAAACCCCTTGAAAAAATGTAAAAGAGCAACGTTTTGCTATACAAAACCAAATTACATAAACCCAACCCTTTTAATTATATCAAAAGAGTTTAAATTATAAAAGTGAACCCTTATTTTCTTATAGTGTCTTTAGTATAACACCAAAACTTGACATTTTTTATGTTTTTCTTATTTTTTTGGTGATTGTTTCACTGGTTTATGGGCCCAAGCAGAGATCCCTCATTTGGGCAATGCCAACAATGGACAGAATACCTGATTCGTTTTGATAATCCTTTTGCCTGAAAGTGCTTATGTACACAGGCCAGATTGCCACCAAAAAGTTGGCCAAGTTAGTGGGCTAGGTGGAGGACTTCAAGTCCGATTCCAAGTCAGTGCCAGGACCACCAGATCCCAAAACCCTATCCAAGTCCGAGTCAAAGTCCGAGCCGGGTTGCAATCCAGCCTCGGGCTTCCATTTTGCCCCGTTGCCTTGGCATTCGGTTAGTATCTGTGTGTGTGTGTGTGTATTTTGGCCTATTTGCATTATGAATTATTTATTTTGTTTATTTCGTCTTTGCCACGAAAACACAGATACAGGCCAGTGAAAGGGGGGAGGGGGTGTGAGTTGTGAGCAAACCAAACCCGGAAAATGTTGCAAAAGTGGAATACTTGACGTCGTCTCAGTGATAAACGTGGGCGGCAAAAATAAAAACAAAAATTGGGAAAGGGGCCATGGAGAGAAAGAGAGAAAAACCAAAATAAAGCGCACGAAATACGCGAAAAGTGTTTGCTCGGATTAAATTTATGAATATTATATTCAAGCAAAAGTTCTGCCATCCAAAAAGACCGACAAACCGACAGACCCACTGCAATAGCACAAGTTTGTCTATAAATTTTTTTCGCTTCCTCCTCTTCTACAATCTGTCTGAGAATTTACTGCCCACCAAAAAAAATATATATATATAGGAGAAAAGGAGGTAAATTGCCAGCTATTGCAGCCCGCTTAAGGGTATCATTTTGGTCAAGTTGTTTATTTTGATGGCGGCACCGTAAAATGATATATCGACTGTTCTATATCACGATTCAAGTGGGGGTAGATTTATACAATGTTAATAAGTTTCGTTTGTTTTTTGTACTCACTGGGCTCATAAAGTATGCGACTGCTTAATCCTTTCAGCTCCAAATTTGCCTCCAAATTCATGCAAATCATTCGTTACAATCGTGGGTTATCTGCAAAAGGAAGGACGGATATGATAAATATATAAGGAAATAATCTAGAGTGAAGATATATATAGAAATAATTTATATTATTTCAATAGTTTTCTATAAATTAATTTCATAGTTTGAATAGTTTCTGTTTGATAATTAAATATAGATTATAATATAATCGTGATTTCAAGATATGGGACTCATTGTTAGCTGGTAAATTAGATATTAGCAATGTTTAAAAAGAAATTTTATTAAATTTCATCTACATTTTTGAAATAGAAATGTTTTCTATTAGATTTTCAAGCACAAAAATACTTTCTTTATCAAATTAATAGAAATTACGCTTAATATCACCTAATACACTTTATTTCTAATTAAAACTATAATTTTATACACCTTTAACTGGGTTTAAAAATACCCTTAAATATACATATATAAACATTTCCTAGTATGCTACACATTTAATTTAATTTTAATTACCCATCCCTTAAGTAAATATAAAACAAAAATCCCACCGATTTTCCTACCGAACCAATTCCCCTAAGTGAATACTATTAAAATCTAGCCCAGGCAAAGTGAAGTCTGTCATTCATTTAACTTGGCTAAAGAAATGCCATGGAGCAGAAGGAGAAGGACTCTTCGAGCCGAAAATGTTGACTGCCTTTTGTTCATAAAGGAAATTAACTCTTTTCATGTCCCAATTTGCATTAAAAATGTTATAAATTCGCTGGTAAACGTTCCGAAAGGCAACTAAGCACATATAAATCTACCCGCCGAAGGACGAACCTTCGAGCCAGCTCCAGGACCTGCTCCAGATCCTGCCGCCAGGTGAAGTAGTAAGTGATTGTAGCTCCTTTTGCAAAATGGAGGCGCTAGAGCGAAAGGTGTGTCGGTAGGGGAAAAGGAGGAAAGGCTGGAAAGGCTTGGGCTTGGGCTTGGTCCTGGGACAGATGAGGAGGGAGCTGGGTTGGGCATAAGAGCGATGAATTTGGAATGAATGCAATCTTGCTAAAATATGCAAGGAACGCTCTACACACACAGACACACCCCTCTCAAACACACACACATTCGCAGACATTAAACATTGAAGCGACAAACGAAATGAAAAACGGCTGTGCAAATTAATTTTACGTTGTACGAACAGCAACAAAAACAACAACTATGGCAACAGTAACAAGAACAACAAAAGTAACTGCGTTTGTGACAACACTGAGAGAAAAAACTGGGAGCTTTAATATTCATTAATTATATGTTGAAAAAGTTGTGGAAAGTTGGGTAAAATAATCATGTTTACATTAAATAAATCACCTTTTGAGGTTCCTCTGTCTTAATATTTATATTTATAATGATTTTATAGACTTTCTTATTAATATTTTAATGCAATTTTGTATTTGAATTGGATCAATAACCAATATTGTACACATATTCCTATTTTTAAGCATAGAAAGGTTGAAATTGTGATGTTTAAATTAAATAAATACCCTTTTTTACCTTATTTTGCTAAAGCTCCTTTGTCTAATGGGATGTTTCCTCCAATTACCAGTATCTTTATCAGGAAACACTCAATATTTATATTTATTATGATTTTAAACACTTGTTATAAATATTTCTTTGGAATTTTGTATTACTATAAGCTTTACAATCTATATTTTGCACATATTCCTATATTCAACCATAGAAAGTTGTACGATATAAATATGGTACTTAAATTAAATAATAACCCTTTTAAAAAATTTTTTTCTTGAAATTCTTTTGTGTTATGAGATGTTTTCTCGAATTACCAGTGTTTTCATCAGTAACCCTCAATATTTATATTTAGTATGATTTAATACACTTTGTAATTAATACTGGTATTTAATTTTCTATTAATATAAGATCTACAATCAATATTTTTAGCATGTTTTTATTCTTTCACCCGTAAAAAGTCTTCTTTTGACTTATTTATGTTCAAAAGTACTTATAAAAAATCTTCAAAAATATTCTATCAATTTGTAATTAAATGTTTATTATAATTTTTTACAGTGCATTAGCGGAGCCTCCCCACCTGGGACGATGAATAGCAAACAACAACAAGAACTATGCAGGGCACGCCCATAACTCCAACATCTACATGAGAATGGGCCTCCGCATGGAGTGAGTAAAAAGGAGCAACAGGAGGAGCGGAAAAGGGTGCAGACCAAGGATAAGGATGACTCCCAAACAGCTAGACAAACATTTAAAGGATTGCCAGCCAGGATGCCGCCCGCCCATCCACACTTTATTTCGCTTTAATTACCAAGCTCTCTTACTGTCTACTGTTGCCGTGGTGGCAGGGTAAAAAAATTCACCACCAACCAGAAAGGATCCCAAGGAGACTGGAGGGAGACAAGGAGTTGAAAAGGTAGCCGGTCTGCGATATCCAAATTTCTAGGAACAAAACTGTCTGTGTGTGTGCTTTTGGGGTCTAAATAATTCAATAATATAAGGTGTTATAATAATTACTAATGTGGTTCAAACAGGAATGAAAGCCATTTCATTTTGTGGCAAATTATAAATGAGAAATAATGACGATTGTTGAATAGGAGATGAAAAGCAACTACAGAAAAGTTGGTTATGAATAAATATGTAAGAAATATATTAACCAAGAAAGGAAGTTAACTTCGCCACGCCGAAGTTTATATACCCTTGCAGATAGAACTTCTATGACTAGGAATCCCTACAATATAAATTATATATATTTATGATTAAAAACAATGAAGTAACACCTGTTTTCATTTTATTCACCTAAACATATTTATATTTGCAGTTCAAAGATTTGCATTTTTCCTCTACATCAAACGATCGTTTGTATGGCACAGTCGTACGATTGTCATGAAATTTTACACAACATTTAAGACTAATATAAAATGGCTATACCTCAAACTTGATGAAAATCTGTCGAAAACTGAAAATGTTACAATTTTTTTTGTAAAAATTTTCCGGTCATTCCAATGGCAGCTATATGATATAGTCGTCCGTTCCGACATATATACGAGTGAGAGTATATAGAAGGCTAACTACAAAGTTTCATTCAGATAGCTTCAAAACTGAGAGACTAGTTTGGGTAGAAACGGACAGATGGACAGACGGACAGACGGATAGACGGGCTTGGGTAGATCGACTCGGCTGTTGATCCTGATCAAGAATATATATACTTTATATAGTCGGAGGTTCCTCCTTCACTAGATGCAAACTTCAGACTGAAATTATAATACCCTGCAAGGGTATAAAAAAAAGAAAAGGAAACAAACAAGGAAAAAAATCCTAAATAGGCTTATATTAGCAAGCTTAAAATCCTTATTTTTGAGCGGGTTTTTGTGTGAAGAATTACTTTTGCAAAAATTATATACAAGCATTGCTTGAAATATGTTAACTTTCTGTTATTTAAAAGCATACCAATTCTTAAAAATTTGCTTTACAAATATAGATCAACTTATTTTAATATATATGTTCTTTGTTTAGTAAGTTGTGCTGAATAAACTATTTTCGGGAGTTAAGTATACTTTACTATAAACAAATAAATGACACCATATCCCCGCTCGTCATGATCATCGCGGCTCTTAAAGAGAGCTTGGAAAACTTTTCGAGATCAACAATAAGCTAGTCAACACGGCCAAGGGTATGGTAATTAAACAATAATTTAATATAAACCATATTTTCATGTATCTTGACTTTTTGGGCGTTGTTTTGGTTTCAATTATCAAGAGATATTTTATTAACGTCTTACCTTACTTAAGAAAACTATAATTTTTATGATTGCCACATCCACTTGATCAAAGTCTATCAACCATGAAGCACTAGATTAGTAATTTATATAAAAAACACACAAAAAGAAGAAGAAAACTAAACTTCCTCTAGCTAGGGCCTTGCTTAAGTATAAGACTTGAGAATCGCAGAGGAGAGCGCTCTATGTACCAAATAGTTAAACAAAGCCTATCTTTCAGTCGAAAGCTTGAAACTTAGTGAAGGAGTCATTTCCGATCTATTATTCATATATATTCTTGATCAGCATCAACAGCCGACTCGATCTAGCCATGGTTGCCACATCCACTTGATCAAAGTCTATCAACCACCAAGCACTGAATTAGTAATTTATATAAAAGAAGAAGAAGAAAATGAAACTTCCTCTAACTAGGGCCTTGCTTAAGTATAAGACTTGAGAATCGCAGAGGAGAGCGCTCTATGTACCAAATAATTAAGAAAAGCCTATCTTTCAGTCGAAAGCTTGAAACTTAGTGAAGGAGTCATTTCCGATCCTATTATTCAAATATATTCTTGATCAGCATCAACAGCCGAATCGATCTAGCCAGGTCCGGCATAAATTTAATTTTTTCAAATTTTTTGACAATTTTAAATTTTTATAAGGGGTATCGTTAAAATGGTGAAAAATTGACGAAAATTTGAATTTTTTAATTTTTAAATTGAGTATGCAGATTTGTTACCCTAATAAAAACTGAAATTAATGCATTTTTGGCTTAGTTATGATATATTTAATATTTGACCTCTTAATTCTTAGCTAACTTCAAAGGTATTAAGAAAATTATTCATGTTTTTTTTTTTTGTATATAAAATAAGTTTTTAATATATGATTAGTGTACTTACATTGAATTTCTATAAGTAGGAATCCCTACAATATAAATTATATATATTTATAATTAAAAACAATGAAGTAAGACCTGTTTTCATTTCATTCACCTAAACATATTATATTTGCAGTTCACAGATTTGCATTTTTCCTCTACATCAAACGATCGTTTGTATAGCACAGTCGTCCGATTTTCATGAAATTTTACACAAAATTTAAGACTAAAATAAAATGGCTACACCTCAAACTTGATGATGATCTGTTTAAAACTGAAATAGTTGTAATTTTTAATTGTATTAATTTCTCGATCGTTCCTATGGGAGCTATATGATAAGTAGTTCGATTTTCATAAAATTTTACACAGAATTGTAGAGTATAATAAAATGGCTATATTTCAAATTTGATAAAAATCTGTTGT